GAGGAATGGGGGAAAGACAGAGGGAGAACACAAGAAAAGGGAAGGAAACAACCTTTGTGTTACTTTTCTAAATGATATAATTTTGGTTGCAAATGTTGATTTGTTACCACAGATATCTGTATGAGTTTAAATTATCATGAACCTCTGTGCTGACTTGTTTTTTAAAGGGGAGGAGCTGGCCATGCTGGAGGATATGAGTGTCGGAGTGATGGACCTGAGAAACGTCACCTTTAAAGTTACCCAGGCAACTTCAGGTTTCGCCCCGGACATGTTGCCGGTGATCACAGGAAACAGGAACGGCTTCAACGTCAGGGTTCCAATGCCCGGAGCGATGTTTGACACGCTGCCACGAGAGATTCAGAACGGGATGCTGCTGCGTGTGCAGCCCGTCCTGTTCAACGTGGGGATCAACGAACAGCAGACGCTGGCTGAGAAGTGAGTCACTGAGACGGGAGGAAAGGAAAGGTTGAGGACAGAAAAATTGGGGGAAAAAAACACCTCCCTCCTTCAACTCTAATATCGTATATGTTTCCAGGTTTGGAGATACGTCACTGCAAGAAGTGATCAACATGGAGAGCATGACTCGCCTCAGCTCATACTACGACCAGTTTAAGGAAGTCCTGCCAGAAGACTGTGAGTCTGCGTACATACAACTCACCATTATCGGAAAGAAAAATGTTTTTTTCTTTTGCATGTTTCACTCACCTCATCATTCCTCCTCTGTTTCCTCCTCAGGCCTCCCTCGCTCCCGCAGCACCACCAGTCTGCCTGAGCTGCTCAAACTGCTGAGCCAGAATGTGAACGCCAAGAAAAACAAGAATGTGGAGATTCTGTGGCAGGCGGCAGAGGTAGACTTGCTTTTCATTTGTCTTCACATTTAAAAAGCTCTGTTTTTTTCCTCTAATCTCCTTCTCTAAACCTTAAAGACATGTCGCCGCCTGAACGGCGTACGTTTCACCAGCTGTAAGAGTGCCAAGGACCGCACGGCCATGTCTTTGACCTTGGAGCAGTGTCAGATCCTGCAACAGGAGCATGGCCTGGCCCCACAAGTCTTCTACCAGGCTTTGGACTGTATGCGCAGGTCAGTCCCTGCTCCAAATCTCATTAGAAAAGTAATGTATTTGCCAGTAATGTAAGTAACCAATGCTTCACTTCTGTTTCTCCACAGTGAGGGCTGCAGGAGAGAGAACACCATGAAGAATGTGGGATGTCGTAAATACGCCTTTAACGCTCTTCAGCTCAAAGCCTTCCCCAGACAATATCGCCCTCCAGAGGGGACGTACGGGAAGGTTGAGACCTAAGCGGACACTTCTATCTGGAGGAAACCAAAAGACTGAAGGGGATAATGATGATGGCACCACACAAAGAAAAACACCAACACTATCTGGAACAACAGCCCTTTGTTTTGTGCTTAGTCACTGTTAAGATGATTAATGTCCAAGTGCCAGTGCTACTGTAGATAGTTTTATAGCAGTTTCCTCTCTCCTCTCAGTAGTACTAGAACGACACAGTTTTCACAGCCACTTCACAGCCAAAAACAGTAGAGACATGGCTTTCTGTGTTACATTGTAGCCAGTATGCAGACACCACCGTTGGCTGTTGCACCAGTAGTAGCAGCAGTAGCAGGAAGCGAGCGGCCACTCTGGATTTCAGTCATTTTAACTTCCCTAGATATAAGATATATCTATACATATCCAAGCTGCTTTTATTTGATGGTATCAGTTTGTCAGTTACAGGATAAGGCGGGTGAAAGTGTATATTTTTCTTGTTGTCAACAAATCCCACGCAAAGCGAGACCAAACCAACAGTGAATTTATCCAAAGGTTTATCCAAAGCCTGATACAGCTCATCTGTTCCAACAGACCTCCACTGTTGTCCACTGCCTAGTCAAAAACACACCAATGAGCCACATTCCTGCATTGGCACACTGAGTCAGTCCCACCATCCTTCTGCAATAAAAACTCACCAGCAGACCAAATGTGTAAGAATCCACCCATGAAAATAGCCCCCAAAGAATGCACAATTTACCCTTGTTTGAGCAACACTTGTTATAAACTACAGTGCCCAGCTGAAAATTGCAGGAAAAATGAGAATATATTTGGGGACTAGTTTTTAAGGTTTAATTCTTCAGTAGGAACCAATCAGCCTGAGAGGGTACAGAGGTCAGAGAGCATTGAGAAGCAGACTAATGCATATTATTTTTTATTCTTTCCATGGCATTTGTTTACAACAAAAAAGATCTAAAATAACGCCAGCCTCATTCTTTAAGGCTACATTAGGCAAAATGTTGATGCAGAATTCGCTCATTCTCAGCCTAAATAACAAAGTAGGGCTATGCTGAGATCACCGAATATCTTTCCTTGATCTTCTTTGTCGAGTTCTACAAACAGCCCTATAGAAAGAGCCAAATCAGAGACGATATAAAAACAATGTAACCTCCTTTCTGCCATTTGTAGTTTTGCCTACAGCTGCCTAATGTAGCTTTAAATCCAAAGAAGGCAACAGAGCAGACTCTTAGCTTTATCAAAACCTTTGTCTTTGCCTGTTAAGATATTTCTCTGGACCTAAACCGCACTGCACTGTTAAAGTCAAATCACTTATTCGATTTATTTCAGTGCTTTTAGCCTGCTGTCTGCTGTCTCCCTCCCACTGTCTCTCATCTTTCTTCTTTAATCACATAAACATTCAACACAGTATCTCTCTCTACAACAAGCACAGATCTTACATATAGTACATATATGACACTACTCACAGGCATTTGTAATACAATGACGTGATTTCTGAGGTTCTTCTGAAACTGGTTCACTAATCGCGGGCTTGAGAAGTGGTGCATCACATTATTCTGTAATTCTAACATGACATATCGACAAAAACAGATATTTAGGACATTTCTGCAGGTTGTGTGCAGCACAGTAATGGTTTGTTAGCCCTTCAAACTTGGGTTTTTATTTTCTTCTAATTGTGTGTTTTCAGTTTTAAAGCACTCACTTGAATTATGCAGATAAAAACTTTATTAATTTAACCTGCATGAAGATTAACAAGACCCTACTGCGTACTATCGCAGTTGCATTCTTTTGCAGTTAAGAGTACGAATGAGCACTTGATAAATGTTTTTAGACTGAAGTGAAGTAATGCATATTGCATTATTGTACTGACCATCAACAACACCCCTTCTGTTGTCAGTTTACCAGCTACAGGCTCCAATGTACCTTATTGTACAGAACTTATAGAGACAGTGGATTTTATTTTAAAGATGTTATTTTGCTTACAGGTATTTATGTTGATATGGCTGCTGTTCTCAAATGCTGTTCTAGTTTTATCCATTGTTATTGAGTAAGTTATGACCTTGTTCTGATCAGTTGTACGTGCACACAGGTTGGACAGGGGAGCTTGGGAGACACATGCACCCCCACAGAGGTATGAACTGAAACTGGAAAAATAAATAAAAGCTTGTCGATGCCAATGTACTGTGCCAGTGAATTAAATCAGACATTGTGGTTTGTGAATTGAACTCAAATGAAGATCCTGACCAAAGTTTCATTACCTAATTGGCAAAGTAAGCAACTGTCTCAGACTTTTCCAAGGGACCCAGGCATTAATATGGTTTATGGAGGTTTGGATGACTACACATAAGTTTAGGAATCACCACCAATATCAATGGAAATTGAAGTAGCACCAGAAATGACTAATTATCTAAATGACCCTGCTCACCCACACAGGTGTTACCACTTACTGTGGTTGATTAGACCTCTTATCACAGACAGTGGCGGATTACATGAGGTCAGCAGACTCTGTGTAGCATACTAATCAGGAGGCTCAAGTTTACCAGTATAACATGACTGTGAACCAGCAAGTCCCTGAAACTGAAGCAGCTATTATTTACACCTGTGCTTTTCCTCCTGTGACACTCTAAAATATCTTCTGTGAAAAAAAGGTCCATCAGGCAAAATAATTAAAATAGTTTTGCTCCACTAACCCTGAGTAAATTCATCTAGCCATGCGTTTTAATTTTTCTGAGAGAGTGACTGGTGACTGATCAGTAGTTTTTATTTGGCTGGTTGGTTTAGTGAGGTGGTTTTCTTAACTCTATTCCAAAATTTTGAAATATAAAAGTGCATAGAAAATTATGAGAGCGCACTGAAAAAACAAGAGTAAGATAAGTAGTCTTATTAAACGGGCTTGTTAATTTAGACAAACTGAGGAAAAGGACAGAAAAAAGAATCAGGAGTTTCCTTTTAAGGGCATTTCCGGAAATTGCGTCTTTGCCAGATTGTCTAGTGTTAAAGAAGTATCACTCCATCACTCTACAACAATGGCATAGTTCTCAAAACTCACCCAGAGCTACAATTAAACAGATAACGAATAATCCCCCCTTGCTTAAAAATTACTTAAATTGCGGCCTACACGCTGAGAGTTGTCCACATGACACAATACAGAGCGAACAGGTGCTACGCTGCTTATCTTGGTTCCCGATGCAGTTTGTAGTCAGCAAAAAAGTGGGAGTGGGAGCTCTTCACTCATCATCCTCCGCCCACGTCTGCGGTCGTGTACATGGCGGTGATTGTGCGACGAGTAGTAGCAACATCTTACAGTATCAGCAGCTCTGTGGGGAGGTGAGGCGAGCCTGCACGTTCACACACCAGAGATTCAAAACTGAAGAGCTGCTACATATTCACGTTTCTTTTTTAGCTCTCGTGTCCGTCGTTTGTATTTCTGTTGAGCACTCTGTGGCTCACAGGACGTGTGAAAGGCATTTCCGTGCTCTTCACTGTACAAGTGACAGAAACGTGTCACGACTGTGTGAACATGAAACCCACCCACACCACGAGAAATGGGCAGGAACAATATGTTCCCTAAAATATGGTGATTTTCGTTTCCTTTTCGTGTGTAAAAACACCAGTGGGGGAAGGTAATGTGGTCGTGGTCTGCCCCTTGTGTAACGCCCTGTCTGGACTCTGTGTTATTTCGTGTTTTATTTTGAAATTGTTTTGCTGCTTGATCCGTGCCGAGTATCTGATTTTGTCTACGCATGTGTGAAAATGCAGCTATTATTTAGGGTAATGATCAGGTTATGATCCATGGTTAGGGTTAGGTTTGTAGGTTTGCGCATGCGCCAATTTGCGTAACGCGCACTTAAAGTGCATTTTGCAGATAATACTTCTGTACTCAAATTCGGTGCTTTGACTTATGGATCTCTGATAGACACAAATACTCTTTAGTAAAAGGCACTAGGGAAGGTTGTGTGTCTAATCCACAAATCGTAAGCGAGGAGGAGAACACTAAATCAGATTTATTAACTTCCTATTATGTAACTCCTCCCATTCAGTCCACTCCACGATCAGTTTGTGATTCCCTTCTCCTCTGTTAAAGGTTGCTCGCAGATGACCATCGTTGGTTCCAGTCTGTTAGAGGAAGAGCATCAGCCCGCAACTACAGTTCATCCGTTTCACCCTCAGTTACTGGTAAGTGTTCTGTGAAATATGTGCTTCTGTGTGGAATATAAGGTCAATGAGTTAAACTGCCAACAAAATTCAGTCAGTATAGGGAAAATGTTATATTGTGTCTATTCATTTACTAACAGGGTTAAACATTAACCAAAGTGTTAGATGAAATGTTAGTGTTTTGTGCTCATTGGACTAAAGTCTGTTCCCCACAGGGTCCATGATGAGTAAAAAGCTGCTAGCAGATGTAGACTGCGGGGTGGACGATGCTCAGGCCATCATGTTGGCGCTGGCCGCCCCAAACGTGGAGCTCCTGGGTATCACTTGTGTGCATGGAAACACCACAGTGGAGAATGTGTGTAAGAACACACTGCGCGTTCTGCAAGCCTGTAATAAACTCGAGGTGAGTGTGTGTGATGATACTGACATGATTTACTGGTAAACACTGTGTCATTTTTAGACCAACATTAGTGTGTTCGCTCTATGTCTAGAGTGCTGTCTGAGTAGCTGACGTAAATTGAAATTTACTGGTACCTTGTGACATTGGCTCTGTTTATAACACTGCCCAGCAATGACTTGTTGTTCCTCAAGCCACATGACTTGAGGCAGGAACCAAACAAATGAGCCACTAATCAACAAGGCAGACTGATCTCATCATACTAGTGGCTAAAAATTATAAATATAATACTTGGTAAAATGAGTACTTCAGATGGTTTCGAGGTTTACGGCGCCAAACATAACTGCAGCATTCTCAGTTTAGCTGAAGACTCTTTATTTCATGTCGTTATGCATCTCTCTCCTCTCATTTTCTGTCATCGCTCGACTGTTACCTCTCTGTTTAAAGCATAACATGTCCCCAAAAAGGACTTTAGCAAAGGACTATATTATGTAGATTATTCCAATTGTGGGGGATACTGAATTTTTCCTCACGGTATGTTTGATTTTTCATCTTGTGTGTGGTTCTTCCACATGCCAGATTCCAGTGTTTAAAGGTGCTGCTAAGCCTATCCTTGGGAAAAGGATTGATGCGGGACACTTTCATGGGCAGGACGGGCTGGGAGACGCTCCTGACCCCAACGCTCCTGCTCTGGACCTGGTTCAGAAGGAGGACGCTGTGTCTGCTATGATCAGGATTGTCAATGAAAACCCAGGAGAGGTGAGAGTTGTGACAGCTCCATTTGTGTATATCTGCCTCTTGCATGTCTCAAGTCTGTGTTTATTTCCACAGGTATCTCTGGTTGCCACGGCACCCCTCACCAACCTGGCTCTAGCTGTGATGATTGATCCATCTCTACCAAGCAAACTGCGAGGGCTCTACATCATGGGAGGCAACACTGAATGTCAGTAAGATTCATAATCATAAATGCAATTAACTGGATGAAACAAAACAATATAAATATGTCAATATCACATTTTTAACTACTGTCTAGCATTATATAGACAATCAGGTAAAAATTAATCAACAATGGGGTTTGCAATTGTAATGAAATTTCTCCAGAGTTCTCATTACTCTGTGTTCCCCCTGGAACGCCGGAGTTCAATGTGTAATCAGTGGTTTGTTTTTTCAGCTCGAGGAAACACCACAGTGTGTGGTGAATTCAATTTTGCTGCTGATGCTGAAGCTGCTTACATTGTACTGAATGACTACCAGTGTCCCATCTACTTGATTTGCTGGGAGTTTACCTGCTACAGCAAGCTGTCCTGGGTAAGCTTTCTCTTTTACACATTCCAACATATACACAATAGATTTTTAATACCTCTAACCTCACTAATAATTTCATACATCAGCAAGGACAACAGAGTGATGTTGCAGCCTCTCTGTGTTGACGTTTCTTCTGGTATTGACAGGAGTTTTGTGACGCCTGGTTGGCACAGGACACAGATAAAGCTCGCTTCATGGCACGGATCTTTCGTCACAGCATCGAGGCGTCACAAAGCGAGCGCCTCCAGAAAGAGTTTGTTGCTGGCACAGGTTTTGTTTCCTGCGACTCGTACGCCATGGCAGCCGCCGTAGACGACTCATTCATCATAGAAAGCGACCAGTATCCAGTCAGCGTAGAGCTGACGGGCACACACACCAGAGGCATGATGGTAGTAGATACTGTAGACTTACTGAAGAAGACTCACAAGGCTTTCATCGTTAAGAAGGTGGATATGGAGATGTTCAAGCAGATGATGATGGCTGCTTTGAAATGACAGCAAGGACTGATTTTTCACTTACTGTATATGTAGAACTTAATTTTATAGAAATTGCTTTTTAATACATAAAATTAAGATTTTAATAGAAAGTCTCTGTTTTATTTATTTAACCATTTTCCATATCATAAAACACACACTCATTCATCCAAAATAATACATTACATTTTCCTTTGAAGGAATCAAGATGCTTGAAGCTCCAGTCTTTTTTTTTTTTCCCAGCACTGCATTTTACTGACGAGTTGGTAATCCTTTCCAATGTCATGGTGCACTGTTCTTTCATGTTTGGTTGTCATTTGCTACCCACTTTCTTTGAAATTATAATTATGTCTTTCAGATTAGTTTTTTGAGCTGCACACACCCAACCCATGAACAGTGCCTTTTGATTTAAATCACTCCAAGTATTTACAGTTCATCCAGTATTTACTCAGCCATACTGCAGCATCAGCATTCAGTTGGTTCCTCAATATCCTTTCCTTCCTCTAAATCTTGACCTTGTGTCCAGCTGTAAATAGAGGACAGACTGTTAGGTCTTTGCAGCACAGCTTAAAACATTAGTCGTATATTATCTCTATGGGACAGAATTTAAGTGAAACACACTAAACAGACATTTGTTTTCAATAACAACATTTGCTTCACTTTGGGAAAACAGCTTGCAGAAATATTAGGAAAGAGGAAATTAAAACAATTCCCGTTCTCTTTACCCCTCCACTTCCAAAATGTTTTGTCTCCATCCTAATTTCCCAGGTTTTAGTTTAGTTGCAGCAATTCTTTAGCAAGTGCAGTGTAATTATTGCAGACTTACCAATGACCTCTTGCACTCAAAGAATGATGTCTGCAGGGCTTTGCAGTGGCCTTCCTTCAAACACTGACTGGGCAGCTTCCCCTCCTGACAAATTAAGAGATCAGTTTAATAATTAATAAATCTGGGTCTGTCCAATGCTTTCCCCAACAGGAGCCTTCATCTATGGTTTCCAGTCCTAACTGAATCTGGAACTGTACAGGACCCACTCATCTCCACATTAAACACACAACACTTTTCTTCAGATGGAAGAAGACTGTGATTTTAATATGACACGTGATTGGCATTTATAATTCATCATTTCATCCTTTTTCTAGTAGAAAGAGTAAGTTTATTAATGTAAAAAAATATGAAACGTCAATTGAAAGTAAAATATACAGAGATGAATACAGTGTTTAGTGTTTGGTCGGTCACAAGATTTTTGTCCATAAACTGGACAAAAATGCAAATCCAATGTATCGTCCACCATATATCAAATGAGCATCTAGGGGGAAATTTAGCAATTCACTTACAATCGATCCACCATGGGACAGCACTTTTAAAGTCTTCACCGCCCTCCACCATGTACTCTACTAACAGAGCAGTAATGTAGTGTTAGCTGTAGATAAGCAGCAGTTTTAAGAATGGGGTTTGGCGGGACGGAGAAGGAGCAGGCAAGATGCAGGGCTAGCTTAAATTGTTATCTCACCACTAGCTCTTGTGTTTTACTTTCAGGGCTTTCACCATCCGTAGCTGAGGCCCTGGCTCAGACTGTGGTTAGTTGTTGCAGGGGTGACCGGTTGGTCGAGGTGTGTAATAGTAAACAGCCTTTCGACACAACAGCAGCAAATGTTCAATATTCAACTTGCGGTTTGACTGAGGTAACTTAGCTCTAAGCTCATGCAGGAAACCATTAAAACTGCAGAACAGCAGCCCAACGTCACTCCTGTATTTCAGTAGGACCAGAGGACATTTACTGTACTTACCTTTACAACGCATTCGTGCTGAAGGAGACATGCCTTAAAGTCCTCTCTGATACCGGCGCAGGCTCTGTTATCCGGCTCTTTATCCTCGTAATATTTCGGCATTGTGCAGACTCCACTCTAACACCACTGTGGCCTTAATTATATACTCACAAGTGCAAAGAACCGGCCAGTTACCCGCAATGACATAAGTCTTGTTGTGTAGACTCAGCCGCCATGTTTCGGGAAATTGCATGATGGGCAAACGGAAATACACTGCGCATAGAAGTGCATGCTGGGAGGGCTTGTAGTTTTTCATGTATTCTCTGTTAGGTCATCTGAAAATATAAAGAAAATCACCAACCATTCGTGGAAAAAGTAATTACACTATGTCAGGTGAATTTTGTGGTCATGTTTGCAGTGTTTACAGATGAATTCAGGACAAAGACAGAATGGATTTTGCGGGTTACTTCAAACCTGGTGATGCAATGGCATGAGTAATGCAAGAACTAAATCACAACACAAAAGAGAATGGCCATGACTTCTAACAACTTTTATCATTTATTTCAAAGATGTCCATGAAAAATGATGTCATAATCATCAGACATAGGCATTCACATGTATATGATGAAGGCACATGAACTGATGGGTGTTAAGGGTTGTCAAGCATGGGAAGAGCTCCTTTTTTTTGTCTCCTGTCCACTCTCCACAAATACAGTAGGGGGTCACATGACCGTTCATGCTGTTTTCATGCATTCAGTTTCAGTTTGTATGTGGTTGCCAGGTAAGGGGCAGAAGCCGGTCCTGTTAACAGTACTGAAAGTGTCTTTACTCTTTCAAAATAACATGTCCCACCCTTTAAATGGCTTGCTTCCATCTTCTACCTATTACCAGAATCTGATCAAGAGGCAGAGGTTGAACTGCTTCTGTTTTTAAAAGTACAGCTCTGGTGTAGATGGTTTGATCAGGGGGTGGAAGAGCCTACTCAGATTGAAAAAAAAGAAACCCCAAAAAACCAACAAACATTGTTTATAAATTACAAATAATAATCATGCATTTGAACAAGCACGATTAGTAAAAGTTGTTACACTTCCATATCAATTCCATCAAAAGGCACTTCACTACCCCCTTGAATAAACCATTGACATGTAAGATGAGTGAAGTTTCACTTAAAAATAGCTTCCACTCAGAACATTGGCCACACAAAAACAAAACATTTCAAACAAATTTCAATAAACAATTAAGTGAGGCAAAATATAGAGTTAGTGAGAGAGAAAGAGATACTTGATGCTGTTTTTATAGATTTACAATCAGTGAAAGTACTGCACAACCTCAGCCAATTCATACCACAAAAGGCGCACTCTGCAATGATCAGTAGTCATAGTATTCTGTCCAATCAAAAACTAAGATACACAATTGGACAAAATAAACTGTAAAGTGGATTCGGAGGAGTCAGTGAAATGAGCATCTACTGTGCAAAGATGGAAAATTTAAGTACAGTGGTGAGGGGTGTGATGATAACATAAAAGTGAAAAAGCAGTGCAAATCATGCAGATGGTAATCTAGTACAAAAAACCCTCCAGTACCATTTTCACTCAGCATAACACAGAGAGTGCTTTTGACATCCCAATCGCTAACTGGACTGTATGTGTTATTTTTAAAATATCAGTATCTCCAGCAGTCCAAGTGTAGGCAAACGTAAGAGGGAACAGATTGGAATAATGCTGCTGAGACAATTTCAAGGGACCTGGATATAAGGCACATTTTTCTAATTTTGACCCACAACTACTTCAAAAGTATCTATCACAACGCTCCTACCAGTTAGTTTCTAAACAGTGAAAATGAATCACTTTACTCTTAACATTTCACTTCAAGTGAAAAGAAACTGAACCGAGCTACTTGCAGACAAAGCAATTTCACAAGAAGCCGTTATGAAAATAAAATGTACAATAGCAATTTTGAGAAAAAACCCCCAAAAAAAACACAACAGTACACAAATAAAACAGGTTCTGAACTACCATAAACATCTCTTAATAGAATAAAAATATATTTTACCTCTTGTACAAATTAAAGATTTATTTCAAATAAATTAAGTCACCTTCATAGATCGTCAAAGCTGTAATAATATATCAATATAACAATATATTCCTTCGGGAAAATGACGCCAAGGCAATGTCTGATTGGTATACTATAAATGGACACTGAGGTCATACACAGCCTGTCAGACAGGAAGTGAGATAGATATGGTGTGATGGTACTTATTTTCTTGATGGACTGAAGTAATTACCACAGAATCTGGCCTATGGTCAAAGTTGTCACCGACTGGCTGCAGGCAGGATCAAGGAACAGTTTGGAAAAGCTCATCCTGAGTTTGTGTCTCAGGACAAGTGGAGTATTTGAGTGTGACTTAGAATACTCTAGGAGTGAGGAAACATTTTTGTTTGGGCTGGTGTTGATCTAGAGCTCCGTCATCTCTGCCGAGAACAGAGAGCAACTGGCCATTAGTGATGACAACATTCTTGATCATCATGGGCTTTGCTGAGGCGCTAGTGACAGTGCAATGCCCCAGCTTGCCCAAAGGTGGCAGCATTAAGTAACAGGAGGATTTGGCAGCATCTACACCAGTGGCCAGGTGACTGGTTCTCCCCAGATGTGGTGATTTCTCCTCATTCGTCCAGACGTTTTCTGATTGTGTTCAAAGCTGCTGAGCAACAGTCACTTTCAGAGCCAGAGCTGGGGACAGATGTCTTCACACACTCCACTGTTGTTCTTTAGACAGTAGTATTCACATTCTCACATATGAATTAAGAGCACAAGAGTGAGGGAGAGATGCAGAAAGAAAGGGAGAAATCGATCGATGAGAAGCAAAATAACAAAGTACATTAGGACGAGTGGGGGACAGAGAGGTGGCTTTCCTCAGACAAGCTCAGACGAGCAACTCTAGTGGGCTCTAATGATTTCACTGCTGGTTGCTAGGTGCCAGAGGCCCTGCGTAAGCAGTCTAGGAGATTTTGGTCCCCCAGGGGCCATGATTCATATGCCCCCTTCAGAAGAGTCAGCCAGCTATCCTCTTTATATGTATCTGCAGGAGGAGAGCAGAGCGCCACACGTGTTAGTGGATTAAAACAAGAAGACAGTATGCATCTGGAGCAAGTGGTATTCTCTTATGTATTTGGACAAGAGATTAACGGGTGCAGTGTGTGATTGGCTTACTTCACTGAGGATGGCCCACACAGCGGAGTCTTTGAGAACCGAAAGCCGAAGTGCCACGATTGGATTGAAGGAAGGATCTACAGCCCCTTCTGCCACACCCTTCTGAAACTGACCTGTGTGTTTAAAAAAAACACACACACACACACACACACACACGAAGTACTAAAATCATATATAGAGAAACTACATGGCCAATACTTCACCAGTGAACTAGGTGCTCAAGTGAGAAAAAAATAAATATGATAACTGATTTACTGGAATTTATTTACCCAATATATTTCAGCTCAAAACTTATTTACAAAGGACATTGAATTAAAAAAAAAAACTAAGACACAAAAAATATAAATATTATATATAATATAATATCATATATAAAATATGTCAGAAAAAACAAAAGAATATGAAAGAAGATAACAGAAGATAAAAACTGGAAGGACAAGGCTGTGACTGACAACACTTCACACAATTTTTGTCCACTGACTAACTCTCGGCACCATGAGAGTGTAATCTGATCACGATGTCTCAGAGTGTTTGTATGCACAAACACACACAGCGTTAGGAGACTGTCAAATCCACTTACCGATTCTGTAAAAGCGGTCCTCTGTTCGTTTGTACTTCTCTTTGGTCTGCAGTCCAGGTTCCTAACACATTAACACAGTGAAAAATGGACAGTAGAATAAAATGTAAGACACAAATTAAAACCTTTAATGATTTTTCATTTGAGCAGCACTTGAACTGATACTAGCTTCTGTGCCTACACTGGAGGTGTGGATCACAATGTCAGAATGTATCGCCTCTGGCAGAGCAAACGATTCTGTCACGCTCACATTCCTGTCAATAATCAATGCGCTACGTCCCTGAGAGCAACCACTCAATGTAATCTAATCAGAACCGCTTGTACATCACACCACAGAAGGGTGACATGCGCGTGTGCATGTGTGTCTCCCTACCGAAACAGGCAGTATTTCCACTGTGGTGTTCTCGATTTTGTCCCCTGGGTGCTCCTGGTTACCACTGCGAAACAGGAACCTGCCAAACAAATCAAGCATTCATTTTAATATTCACACTAATGGGTAAAGAATTCTTGCACCCAAATGGTGGCTGCTGCCACACAGAAACACGCAGTCCATCGAATCACTTGTGGACATCAGGTAAGTTATGTCCATGAAATGAAAATATTGGGTATGGAAAAGTATATACACACGCTGCATCTTCAGAACTTAACTGTAAGTAGGATATAGTTGATCAAAATTTCAAAGCTTGTGCTTCTTAGATCTCATATTCAGGTCATAGCTACAGGTTTTGAACATTAAAAATTCTAGTATTTCTGCCTTTCTAGCCAGAAAAAGCTGAGAAATCTCAGTAGATTTCAGAGCAGCTACAACAGGATGCTTTGAATTCACAAAGCATGAGCACAGAGTGAAATATGAGCTTCACTTGTAGATATGGATGTGGGGTTGACAGTTGGGAAGATTCAAAGAGGAAATGAATGGTTATTCTTCCCTTACAATATCTGTTTTCACTGCAGTTTGTGGGTGCACTGTATTTACTTGTATTAAATGTTTAACAGTCAGAGAGTAGGAGACAGAGCGAGAATGCATGCCAGACACGGAGGCAGTGACAGCTCATAAAAAAAAAATAAATAAATAAAAAAATGCTGTATCTCTCGACCAACTGCTGATGAGATGTTGTCTAATCAGCATAGCAATACAGTCTGAGCCAGTGTAAATGGTGTCACTCAAAAGCAGACACAAAACACTTCAGAATCAGACAGTGGAACACTAGATGGCCTCTTTCCCATTCGCTGCCACTTACTTGCTGAGAGACTTGACAGTCTCTCACACTTGTCTTGCTGCACTAACATAATCTTTACAAGAGAAGTGGATACAATCACCACGCGTCGACACATGACCAAATATTAACATCCTTTTCAGGTCTTCTGCGAGCCATCAGTCTCGCTATCAGGTCCCTTTATATTCACAGTCTCGCTCCCTTTCTACCGTGGCTCCACAGAGAGTAGGACGCTGGCCTGAGAATGCTTATTTTAGAGCACTCTCATTAGCTCACCCGGATCCCCCGAGACATGCACGCACACACACGCACGCACGCACACGCACACGCGCACACACACACACACACACACACACACACACACACATTCACTCAAGTTAAACCTCAATCAGTGAAGGGCAGCATGATTTTGCCTTTGCCTGTATGTGAAAATGTTACCATCATAATAATGATAATTACTATAATAATAAATATATGTTGGGCTGTGTTTTGCATGCTCACCACAGTATTTCAATGCAAAAGATATCAAGCTGTCCACACAAAAATATCAGAAATAGACAAAGCCCTCCTTCACATTTACCTCTCTATGCTAACAGGTCTGTCAAATTTGAAGAGGACGTAGTCTGCTGCAGTAGGAGTAATGGCCCAGAAGAAGTCCTCTCCTAGGTACGTCTTCTCCAGCGTGTGACCCTGATAAACCTGTGTGACAAAATACAATGTTTTGTTCTATATTTATCACAGATTTTGCTCATCTATTCTTTTTATTATTTAGGGCATAATGCGTTCAATTTATTCTTGTATTCCTTTGAACTAGACAGTAGGTGAGTGATACCTTCATTGAAGTGGAAACCTCTGCTGGGGGGTTGACATGCATCTTATGAAGCAGTGGCTTCAGGAAATCTTTGTCCTACAGACACAGACAGAGAGGCGAGGCTAGTGTTTCTACAAAAGGAACCAGCGTCAGCTGCTGCTGCAAATAAACAACAGTGTGAGACTCACTGTGAGTTTTTGGATCTTTCCAGCAAGAGAAGAATGGAGTCCCACATGTTGAAATAGGGAGGGTCTGAACCGTACACGTAGGCTGGATTTCTGACGCTCGCAATGTTTCTGGAAAAGCAGAAATGTAGGAATGAGACCCCAGTTTCCCACACACTGATGCTCATATCCATACAGTAACCACGGTGCATACCGCATCTTTTTCAGGATTGCAGACTTTGACCCACAGAATATGGTCCAACAGCCAGTCAATGGGCTTCTCCTTGTAGAACATGAAGATGAACTCAACAATGAGGTTTAGGTCTGGAGCCTGGAACATTTTTCCTGAAGGAAAGAGTATAAGGAGGGTTTATAGATGTTCATTGATCCTACACAGAAGCACTCAGCATCATTAACAGCCAATTATTTGCAACAACCATGAACAGGGCTTTGGGGACTTGTTGCTACACTGTAAATAAAAACAAGAGGAGAATCAACTGAAACTAATATGACAAATTATTGTCTTCTTGTGGAAACCTTGTCTCTGTAGAAATCATAAACGCCCTGCAAAAGATATCTACTTTAGAATATCAGCTTATTAAGAAAACTGCCATTGGAACAAAATGATCTCAGTTGTTTGTTTTAAGAGTTGTTGGAGGCCCTTGAACATAAAATGTCCATGCAAATATAAAATCTTACAGAAACAAAGTAGGGTGAATCATAGAGTAGTTAAACTCTGCTTTCAATGATAAAACTACATTCTACTTCTTTAAATTTAAATGATCTGTACACAATTACAATTATACCATTATTTAGTAAGACACAGATGAATCATTTAAAACAAAATTGCACATCCGTAAAATAATCATGGGTTTAGTTAATCACTGAAAAATGGGCTCTAAAAATAAAAATCATTAATTGAGCCATTACGGTGCATGCTTAATCAGAACAAAAAGAACAAGAAACAAAAGTTTCACTTGGGACTAAAAATATACACATTCCTCATTTATACACTGCAGTGACACGCTTTGGATTTGCCTTTCCCGCACTATTAATTACTTTACAATGACCTAATTCCCAAAGTTATCAATATAATTTCCATGTTGTCTTTACTGGCTGCTCTGCTGTGCATCGGCCAATGCTGTATTTGACGCTACAACTCTTACAATATGTGAATGCCTAGTCTAATGGATTGGAAAATACTGATTTAAGAGAAAGAGGTGTCATTCAAGAATGCCATTGTTTGCCTTGGACATCAGCTGATTACACAGATCTGGCTTCATCTGACAGACGCCTGGTGGATGCTGAGTATTGATCGGGTGTTTAATAGATCATACCAATGAAGCCCAGTTGAGAGAACTCCAGGATCATCCAGTCCTCTGACGAGAGCTGCAGAGCAAAGTTCTTCATAGTGGCAAAGTAGTTGGGCTTGGCCACGATGTCATCCTCCAGCTGAAGGAGCAGGTGTACAGAAAGAACAAAATGTAAGACAGAAGGAGCCACTTGAACAGTTGGGGTTTATCGTTAGTGGAAAGGGGAGAGAAGCGGGAGGGAGACTCCTCTATGCTCAAACAGGGACATCACTCTGAACTAAACTAAAGAACACTGCTGAGTCGCTACACTAAACTAGAGTAGCAGTAGATGTCAGAGAGGCAATACCTCTTCCCTCCAGTTGAGAGCAGAGAATGGAAATGATACACCCCATGCATAAGATAGAAAGATGGGAGATGAACAACACAGTTAAACAAAATTGTGAATGGCTGGTGTTAGCATTTCAAATCTGCTGAGATTAAACGTTAATATAAACAATTCTAAATTGGATGCCTTGTTTAGCCAAGAAGACATATAAGAGCTGGAGAAGTCTAAGCGGATTAAGCTAAGAATAAGTGAATAATAATAAGTGGCTCCAGTCAGAAAAAATAAATAAACACTAACTCTGATGAATGATACATGATGAAGTACATACCTGGACGTAATAAACCCCTTTGCTCACAGCGTACATCATGAGGAAGGAATAGTCCAAATTCTGCTTGGTTCGCCATCTAAACAAAGCAGAAATCATCAACACTTAATAAAATTCTACACATATGAAAACTGATCCATCGTAAGGTTTCCTCCGAAATATTATAACACTGGAAAGAATGTCAAACTCACTGCTTCACATTCAAAAAGCAAAACTGTACAAATCAGGCACTCCCAGGTATACTGAATGTTACAACAGCAGACTCCATTTGAATAATTTATAAACCAGTGCTGTCAAACTAATTGTTTGATCTGAATGATCTGCCCTCGTTGCAGTCTGACTCACTGCTGTTTGCCAAGAGCTGCAGGTGTTTGTGATGCCTCCAGAAGACAGGTGTGGGAGATGGTACACAGATTTTCCTATGTGCACATGCTCCAACACACACACACACACACACACACACACACACACACACACACACACACACACACGCACACTTTTAACACTCCAGTCAGGTGAACAGACGACACTAATATAGGGGCTTGGATGTGCATGCACTTAAACTCAGCCAGTTGCTGCAGCTTCAGCAGTGGGGGAATGTAATAAGCCTAAAGCCTCTAGACCACTGACTTGCATCCATGCGCACACATGCTTAAGAGTCTAAAAAACACTTGCAGTCCAGAAATATTTGGACAGTTACACATTTTTTCTTCTTCAGGCTCTGAGCTTTGGTAAATTCAATTTGAAATAAAATAATGGATACGACATTAAAGTGGCAAGTCTCAGCATTTATTTGAGGTTTACACCAATATAGAAAGAACTCTGTGAGCAATATAGCCCTTTTAACACCTAGTGCCCAAAGTTTAGAGGTTCAACAGTAATTAGACAGATACACATTCAGTCCAAAAAAAAAAAAAGAAGAAAATGTGTAACTATCCAAATACTTACAGTCTGGCCTGTATACCATGAACCCATGTTGAACAAGATGTTAACTGCTCACAAACACCCACATACCAACATAACACATAGCCCATTGAGCCTAAAGGCTATTAACCAAGTACAAACTGCAAGTAGTCAGCACAAACTGCACCATAAACAGGTTTTGTAATGAAGCCAATTGTTAGCTGACTATAAAGAGAAGATAAGTACAGAAGATAAGATAGAGATAGAGGGTACTGCTGATGATGACCTTGATCTGACTTTGAGAAATGCCTGTGGAATACTAAGTACCTAGGCAGCCTCCCTTAAAAGCTCTCACTTGCTCGTTCCCTCCCGCTTTCCCCCTGACTCATCTCTCTACTTTTTCTGCAATCCTCATCACGGCTCTCCTGTATTTCATTTCTCCCAAGGCTGGTTTCTCTAGATTTCCATAATGATTTCAATCACATTTTGGCTAATTAAGTGTCAGCACTGAACACACAGGTAACACAGACGTCATGCCTGAGTGAACTGCTTACCTGACTCTCTCTCTGGAGTCTCCAAAAGTCTCCTTGAGGTTGTTGAGGTCAGGGTAATAGGCGGCTGGTGGGGAGATCACCTCCAGCAAGCCTGAACTCAGCTCTGTAGAAAACCTGCAGAAAGAGGGCCACTTATGATGCCAACAATGTAACACAGACATGCACACTTTTCTCAGGTTCACAGTGTCTTTTCACTCCGTCACAATATTTCCACCTTCTTTGTGCTTGTATCAGAAAGCAGAGAAGTGTACTCACTCTTTCTCCAAGCCAGCAGCTACGCTGTGAACATAGTCCAGGTCTGTCTGCAGAGATTAAACCAGGAAGACACAGACCTTTTAATATCATTTTTGAATTCACTGCGTAGGAGTGTCACACCATGACTCATATTGAATGACTGTGAGATCTCACCTCTCCAACGAAAACAATAATCACACAGTCAAGTTTCTCCTCTGGTGACAGCTTGTCTATCAGCGAGCGCAGCGTCTCTGACAGATAGGACTTCACCTTCCGCTTCACTGTGGGAATCCCCATCACCATTGTAACTGGGAAGTAGAGAGTGTGAGGTAATAACAGGAAAAAGGGGGCTTTTTAATCAAGTGGATCCAAAACCAGGTAACCTTTGCTGAGTTCCATATACCTCAGAAGTCGGAGGTGTGAACAAAGTCACTTCCGAGTTGACCTCATTCCAGTACAAGTCAGAAGCTTGTTCTTGTTGTTGCTTGCTTGTTGTTTTTATTGTTAGCAATACCAGTTTACCACAACGCATTATACGGTATTATATGTATACAAACTTCATAGCAACATGTCCACAGATATAAGTTGGACAGTACTGTGTTTACAACTGATTTAATGAGACACAAAGAAGACAGAAGTGCTACTAAACACCATATTACTACAGCTTTCACTGCTGTTGATGCACAGAGCAGCCATCTTGGATTTTGAGGTCAGGATTGGTGAGGGTCTTCTGACTTTCTGAGTCAGACACCCGACTTCAGGGGCCATTCCAGTTGAAATTTCAGAAAACAAAATTATATAATGCCTGGCATTTACTGAACAACAACAACAGCTAAATTAATTTGAGCTTTTCTTACTAAATAAAGTTGGATGCCCAAAGACAACAACAGAGAGCAAGGATCAGAGAAGATCTGACCCCTGTAATTTAATAACAAGATAATATTTCTTTACTGATTTACCTGTCATTTTTTATTTTAACCGATTAATCACAAATTGGAAATGTCACTCATGAAAATGTCAATATTTCCAGACCCCATACTCAAATCAGAAAACTGCTTATTTTGTTTGACCAAATCTCAAAGCTACAGTATGTACAACAATATTAAAAACTGAAAAATGGAGTTCATGTCTTTTTTTTTTTTTTTACTGGATTAATAACGATTGATACATTAAATTGTCTTCAATTACTTTTCTGTTGAATAACTAAGCAATAAATTGTGTCAGCACAACCCACTAATCGCAAATATCATGGTGATCATCATCTCAGAGCTAAAGGATATTCGGTTCAGCTGGAATAGCCTGGTCCAATGACACAACAGTTAGACATGGAAAGAGATAAAGAGAGCGTCTATTGTCTTCTCCTTATTGCTTCTAGTTTATGAGGCTTGGAGCAGCTAAACAGGGAGCCTCTTCTTAAGTATGGAGAGATACAACGAGAGACTGAAGCAAGTACAACGGGCTGTTACCGACATAAAGCCAGTTCATTGTATGAAGTAGAACACAAGGACCACTTTCACTAGGGAAATAGAAAGTGAAAGAATGAGAAAGCAGCGAGTATACAGCAAGCCCACACCAATGTGAGCACAAATGTTAAGATGAGCAAGTTATCAGGCTGGTTATCCGACAATGAATCAGTGTTTCGTCATGCTGAGGAAAGGAAGTCAAGACTGTAGCATGGAATTGCATATTAACTTGTGTGCTCTCTTTTTCATGTCTAGCTCTCTCTTCTTCTATACATGGTGTATTTGCTCTTTACTGAGATCAAATCCTTGGGTACAATGTACAGAGGGATACTGCTTTGGATACTGTTGTTCATAAAATGCTTCATGCTTTCCCAGAGAAAGGAAAACAAGGTTATGTTTTGTCCTAATGGAAGTTACAAACAACTTGCCCTATAGGGATAGTATTGTGAAATACATGGACCGGGGCTAATGTGCATATGTGTATGTGTGGATGTGTGTGCACAGTTTAAAAAGGGAAAACATGCTGACTGAGGGGATGTGGGGGCACAAGGGGCCTCAACAAAGGCACAAAGCAAACTTGAGGTGCAGAATGAGTGAGCAGCACAGTGGACCTGAGAGAGGGTGCAATCCTCCAGAGTGATCTGTGCAGCGTGGAGAATCTGTCCCAGTTTTGCTTTGTGTTTCTCACACAGAGCTCCATGTCGTATAGCGACACCCACCACCACCACCACCACCACCACCAAGAAAGTAGGTCGAGGATGAAAGGAGAATGTAGGAGGAAGGAAAAGAGACAGAGAGTGACAGAATAAGGGAGGGTGGCAGACAGTGAATGAGTGATAATGCATCTAAGTGCAGCTTGAGCAGGACCGACTCCAGGACTGCCCCTCCCCATGTCCCTTGATCAGTCTGCTCACTTCTCTCTGCCATCCTTTCATCTCCTTTAGAAAAAAGAGAAACGATCCACACGTCTGTCCACTTTTCTGTCACATCAGTGAAAAGAACTGATTTGGCGTACCACACATATAAAAGAAGCCAGTGTTCGGCTGTGTGTGCATGCTTTCAATGTCCAGCAAAATATGTCCAGCTTAGTGCTTGCTTAAACTAAATATGTAAATGTGTTCATTTTCCTGATGAGACCATGAACACACAATATTTAGGGTTACGGTTAGTGTCAAGAAAGGAAATAACTAGAGCCTGACTGACTTATCGGCCTATTACAGATACAACAGTATGTGATATGTGCCGATATGAATACTTTTAGTAAGAAGCAATAATGCAGTGGAAATGCTGGGGTCAAGTCAAGTTATATAGGCATTTTATGTATATTTGATCCTTTGTTTTCATTCAAGCTAAATATATATACATTTATTTTATTTATAGTTATTTATTTTTATAGTTATTTTATTTAATTCCTGCATTGATGCCATTTCAGACAGTAACGTAAATTGTTGAACTGTAAAATATCCTGCTTTCATTACATATCTTTTTCACAAGTGTTTACATACAAACACACACCCATACACATATACATACAGTATATACAGTATATACAGTATATATATATGCTGATATATCGATAACTGATTTTTTTTTTTACTCCCTAATAACCAATATCGGTCGGGCTCTAGAAATAGCATCATTAGATCATTACTTGTAGTCGGAATAGTATCTGGGCATATAACACTCACCATGATTTGAGGAATCATCAGTTTATAAATTAATTATGTGACTTTTCAGATGTAACCAATAAAGAAGGGGTTAATATTTCATGTATAGGTCTTTAGGCAACTACAAAGTCAGTAGGGTTTAGAAACTATGTATGAGTACATGTTAATAAAAGGATAAAGGAGGAATAAAATATATTTATTTGTTACACTTACAGAGAACACTATTTATTATATTAGTTCATCATAGTTAATCATCAATGAAATATGGATAAAGTATAATGAACACTATGATGAAATTAATTGGGGAAAAGAGGAAATGTCTGGTCACAGTGGCATATTATAAGGATGGATCTATTATACGGCTTATTGTTGTGAGAGACAAATAGAAACAATGTTAATCTGCTCTATTTGCTTGCAGGTTTCTTTGCCTCAATACACAAATGCATGTTTGCCTTTGATATTGCATTCCCTGATTAAGAAGACCAAATGATGATTTTTTTTTTTGGTGCAATTTAAGAAAATCACAACTGTCAAGTTTTGGGGTAATTTAGGCATCGATGAGTCTCATGTTAGAACCATTGCTTTTCACAACTGCTTCTGTGTCAAAGTAAATACCAACAATGTTTTCCAATGTAAAATGTTGCTGAGAGGCATCCAAAGTAATCTGGTTGCTATATTCTAATGACAAAAACGGAAGCTTTTTAAAGCATTCAAACTTTCAAGGTCTTGCAAAGCCTGAGGAACACCGTGCCTTTGTGTGTGCTTGTGTGTTTGTGTGCATGTGTGCCCAAGTGAGTGGATGAGCAAATGAGTGATATCCCTTTTAAACCAAGCTTGACAGTGGAAAACCTACAATCATGGGTGAATATAACTTTTCGTAAAATAGTCACATCTTTCAAACCATAAATTTATAGTATCTTGATTGGTTTGTTCAATAAACTTAATCACACACTGTCTGACATGCATCCAAAACCGCCCACTTCTTGGGCATGGGTAAACAACAAACATGATAATTATATTCCAGTGTCAACAGCATGTGGGCATTAGGTCTGATCATTACTCTGCATGCAGACATTTGCACCCGTAATGCACCACGCAGAGATTTGCCCTGCACAGTTCAGCTGCTCTGACATGCATTGCTGCTCACAGATGGAAAATAGAACTATGTCCTATTTGTTCCTTTAGTGTTGCATTGCAGCAATGCAGCTAGCCAATCAGGGCATGCCGTTTTTGAAATTTGTTGAAAGCTTTCACTTTTGTTTGGTGGTGCAGCTAAAAATGAAAAATGGCTGCATGTAGGGTGAGGTTTGATATAAAATGTTCTAGCACAGGTCAGCCCTGTGTTAGCATTGTGTGTGTGTGTGTGTGTGTGTGTGTGTGTGTGTGTGTGTGTGTGTGTGTGTGTGTGTGTGTGTATGTCTTAAAAGACTACAGCATTTGAAAGTAATTAGTTTGAGATTAGATCTTGTTTATCAGAATGTGTTGAAAGTGCACAGGCAAAGACATCAGATGCAAGAGTTGTAATATGGGTTCACCAGAGAAGAAAAAAAGCGACACATTATGCAAATATTAGGTTCATAGTACTGTCAATTGACTTGGCTGTCTCACACAGAAGCATGTCTCATAATGAATACAACTGATAGTGTGATTATCAGCACTGAGTGAGAAGCTGTTGAGGGGGTCATATTCTTGCTCAATGTACAGGCAACTTCTACAGAAAGTCTGTGCTCCTGTATTCTGAAATTAGTTTTCTAAAAAAAAAAATTTTTTTAATCTATACATACGTATGTTATATACGTACATATATGTATGTTAGCACGAATTAGCAAGTATCAGCGTCTATGCTCACCATACCTGGGTTGTTATCTTATCTCATAAATAGGCTAATTAGCCAGCAAATGAATTAGCCTGGGTTAGCCTATGAGCAAGACTCCCAGCGATGCTAACAATGCTTACAGTTATTAAACCGGCATACACCTAAATCTCAGCTCCACACATCCCACTTCTTTGCCCAATTTTGGATTAGCTGGGAGTTAGGCCGACTCAGGCACGACCAAGATGGCGACAGGCAGCAGAGTAGCCCACTCTGTGCTTTAAAACCACTCTTCAGAAACCTATGGGTGGCGTAACAGAGGTTTACACTAGGTCCACACTCTGCTCAGGTCAACAGAAGAATCAAACAACAAAGACAGCAGGTAAAGGAAATTCAAATAAGAGACAAAAGGGGTTGAAAAGAGATCTCCTAGAATAAGGTTAGAATAAACAAATTCTAGTGTATAACTGATGTTGCTTGGCAACAAACAAAGTAGAGATTGTGCAAAAGGGCACAAGTTAGATGATGGATGACTTGCTTGAGGCCATGTAGTTTGAGTTTGGAACTAGCGAGGCTGCGTACAATAATACTCTTGTAGACTTTGGTATGAAAGGGGCCCTTTTCAGACCTGGCATTAACATGCGTTTCCACATGCATCTAAAGTGACGATTTTTGGTCAGATCTTACTTCCCTGCTCTATATGCAAATAAACACATATATCATTTTTATTTGCATCAATCAAATATGTTGTTATTTTTAGCCAGACCAGTCAGGCCTGTTTGTCAATGTCTCTGTGTGAGTGAGAATGGGAGTAGGAGCTCTGCAATGAAATAAGGTTTTAGCCATTTGAAATAGTCTAAAATAAATAGAAAATCAATATGTGGCGGTCAAGGTCGATATTGTGGCGAGCCACCACAAATACATCAATGTGTGGGAAACACTGTGAGAAGTCTAAAAATATTTTTGGTTCATAATGACACCCAGCAAGAAACATTATTCTGTGACAGAGGACATCAGTTGAGTAGGTGGTCATCCAGAGTGTCCCAGGACACATTCGTGTTCACACTCCTATAAGAATGTGGATATATGCGATCCAGACCACCTCCAAAAGTGTACTGAGTGATCGAATCTCAAATACATCCTCAATGCATCTCGGGTGAATTCACACCTGTACTTGGAGCTGTGTACTTGTGATTGGATCACCCAAGACGCATGTTAATGCCAGTTCTGAACAGGGCCAGAGATTGTCTGAACTCCTTCTCACATAATACTTGTTCAATTTAAAGTGGGATGGTGTCCTAATTTGCACAGATATAAATATCCCAATGTCAGATATGCTTAGACCAGCAGAGAAACAAGAGGGAAAATAAAAAATGAGCAACACAGAGGTAGACTAAGAAAAACTATTAGCAGCAGAAATAGGGAACATTAAAAGTCACTGTTGGCACCTTGAGGCAAAAGTTGCCGGTGGCCACTCAAGTATGTCATGTGGCAACGCACAAGTGGTGGAGGAGCAAAAGGCATCTGCAGCAGTTGTGCTACCACTTCCTGATAGCTGTAACCTCCTGCTTTGTTGTGCATACACTGAACACAATTGACAGTGCTTAACAGTGGGAAGTGGGTGAGAACAAAGCAGTAGGCAGCAACAAACTTTTCATTATCAGTTACGAGACATTTCCTTTAAGATTTCTAAAAGAAAGCTAAAAAGTCCTAAAAGCTTGACTGGCAATGACTTGGAAAGGTGGCAACAACAGGCCTCACATTTTTCTCGTTTCTCGTGGGAATACCTTGCACTCATTGATCAAACAGCCTGCAGGCCAGGGACAAGAAACTCTTGCTTGTTCCCAATTTGTCCCTCCTTTTTTTCCTCTAATTTGTCTAGGGCCTCTGTTCCTCCTCTCAGTCACTGTCATTAGGAATGTGGAAACACCATTTGAGATGTTCATTCCCTAAACTCACTTCCCTTGCGCCCCAAATTCAATTCACCTATCACACTCACAATGCCAGATAAATAATCCTCTTAGGTTAAACTTGATATAGCAGAGGTCACATGCTTTATGCTGCTGCCTGGGTGGTGAAAGGAAAAATTTAAAAATAAAAACAGGGTTGCTGAAAATAAGGTTTACTACAAAAGAACAAAACAGGAGTGAAATAATCTATGAGAGGGGAGGCTAGTGACAGACAAGACCTTTGAAAGGAGAAATTTCACTTTAAAAATGTGGTTGCTGTTCTTGTGAAGTTACACATAATGGAAATTTATACTGCTGGGTTTTTTTTTTTTTTTGCCCTCAAACTCTAGATTTTGTAATCATATGTTCAGTTTGTGGCTAGCACTTACTAAACCTGCCTTACAGGTTCATCAAAAGAGAGAAAAGCATGAAGAAATGAAAGCAAGATTGAAATCCTTGTTAAACCAAACTAAGAGAAAAGGATACACAACTTGTAAATTAAATAGGGAATTATACTCTACATACACTATAATTATCTTCAGTTCTGCAAATGTTCTTCACAAAAGTGTTATTCCAAAGCTCAGTCCAGAGAGGATACTTGTTGTGAACTAGTCACCAACTGAAAACTTGTTGAGACTTGATTCTGTCCCGGGTGTAATGAGGATCTCAGGAGCTTTTACTGTGTTTGTGTAGGATGAGCATACATATTCTGAGGAAAATGTCTTCCCAATCAGGGGCATTACTGTCACTGTCGTACTAAATTTTCAGTGTCTGTATAAGCTTCTCACCTCCAGTGCGGCCAAGACCAACCTGCACGGCAGGATGCAGGCTGCCCTCATTGTTGAGAAGGTGAGGCAGGTGGTGATAGATATTTGGCACCTGGAGCTGTTTCCTATTTGCAAGATCCTTCAGTAGTTTCTGTGTCTCATCTGAAAACAGGCACAGAGAAACAGGTTAAGTGGAGTCCTCTTCTTAGTTTCATCAAATGATGACAGGAGTGAAACGATGCAGACTTTTTAAAGCACCACCTGTTGACACTAAAGTGCACTGGTAGAACAGTGATGCCATAACTACAGAATCAGTGAATAAAATATTTCACGATGCACTGACTTACTCACAGTAGAAAATTAGAGTTCTTTCTGAGAATTTTCAGTGGCTGCAGCCCCTGACTATGCTTGTAACTTATACCAAACTCATACTGTGTTTCCCTTATGCAGAGAGGACAGAACAGGAAATCAACATCAGCTAATAACATAAGATAAAATCATTTAATCAAACTGAGTTTTCATTTTCTATTTGTGTGCATGATTCAAGACAAAATTAAAATGAATCTGAAAAAACTGTTTTAAAATTCACAATAACTACCATAATGAAAATTAAAGTAAAACTCCAATGACAGATCATTTTCAGTGTACACAAAAGCCAATATGATAATGAACCTGAATATGAATTGGAAAGTTCACTTTAAAATTGGAAGACAATACCCAGTATAAGCTTTAGAGCTGCATTAATTAGTCAATTTTGATTATCGATTTATCTTTTTAGTCATTTTCCACTACTTCCTGCCATTTTATAGATAAAACGATGAATGAATTAATCAAGAAAATGATCAGCAGATTAATCGATAATGGAAAAGAATCTTTAGTCGATTGGTGTCTTTTCAGCCTTCTGGATTTAATAATCCACTCAGCGGTTTTAAGGGTTGACTGAGCCTAGTTTTACAAAGGAGGCCCGGGGGAATCCTGCCACATTGAAAATGAAAGTCTGTTTTAGGGGTGGGCGATATGGCAAAAATATCATATCACGATTTTTTTAAAATAAAATCACGATTTTGATTTTATCACGATCTTAAATTGGAAAAAGAAAAACAGACAATTTAGACCAAAGAACCTTTCTTAACAGATTTTATTTCAAATAGTCGTAGTTTTGCCTGCAAGTGCAAACAACGTAAAGTTTAAGGTAAACAACAACATTCTGGTTCGTCGTGTTACCACCCGACGTGCGAACGGTTTCTGTGCAAACTTTGCAAATGACATTTGCTTGCGCTTGATCAGTCGCGGAAAATCCAAACCAATTCCATATGATGGAGGTGGAATTTTTTTTAGCGACCAACTCCGTTTGGTTTTCAGCCATCGCTCTCCATGTGCTACCGCTACACACACAAATAAGGAGGCGGGTAGGAAAGCGCGTCATTGCCCGTAATTCGCTATGATTGGTCGGTCAGGTTGACGACGTCAAACGTCTGGTGCGTCGGTGCATCAGCATAGAACTGCAATTTATAGAATGTGCCCTAGACAATCCCATGATCTCTGCAGTTTGAAAGATCGTCTTCACGTTGTAATCCTTCACGATCGAATATCGTCATATCGCCCACCCCTAGTCTGTTTCAATTCATTTTTATTACAAATGAGATAGCTCTTTATCCTGAATACAATTAATAAGTGTTTGTATCCGTTTGTATGTGTCAGTTACCTGAGAAGTTTGTGAGAGCATCTTTGCTGTTGTTAGTCTCTGCAATGGCGCGTCTGAACTGCTCAAGAATGGTGTTGAGCTCAGACGATCGCTGCAGCGTCCTGTGCTCTGCCACACGAAGGCGCTCTTTCAAGGCATGAAACTCCCGCTGGTAGGCTATCAGCTTCTCTATAAGAGAAATAAAAGCAGAGAAGGGTGCATTAGCAGGTGACAAAGTGGATTCTATGAACTTCTAGTAATTAAAAAAAACAATGGTATAATACAAGGTACACCTTTAGCTCAAAGGAGAGCAGAGTTCAGTCACAAAGGAAAAATATTTTTAAAGACTTGGGCTACCCACTAGGCAGATCCAACACTAATAAAAGTCTATTACATGGAAGAGTGCAAAGATGAAAGTCCATTATGGTGATTGGGGTTTTGGAAATTGTGCTGTAACAAAATGCACCTGACATGACGTTTTTATAATCCACTGCCTCATTTAAGCAACCCATTGCAGTTTATATTTCACTTTAGTGCCACTTCCGTATGTGAAGCCATAATATCTTCAGTTACAGGAGAAGACTGTCAATTACATCAAAGAAAATGCCAATGAAACATTCACTAGAAATAATTCATAAAGTGCTTACTTCAACATTTTGCACAGAGAATGAAATGTTTTATTCAAGTATGAGATTTTGATCTAGATGAAAACACCAGTAACCAGATTGTGTCATTCAAGTAGGCATAGTATTTCATAAGGAGATGTGTTTCAATACACCCAATTTCACAACAGTAATATATATATTTTTTTTTAACTCCTGGATTCAGATTCACTCCAAAAGCTAGTCATTTTATACTTGGACCATGGCCTAAATATCCTTAATAATTGCTTTATTATGCATTTTAACTGGTAACACTTGAGGATACATTTTTTTTAAATTATTATTATTAATGAGTTTAACTTTTGTAGGTCAGTGTATTAAGTGTTGACTAAGCAGTGAGTGCTCTTTTTCAGCTCTCCCATTCGTGTGGTTACAGTCACCCCTGGGGGCTGCCCAGTAAACACAGCCCTAATCTGATGGGTTCTGAACAGGTTTACTGGAGCAGTTTAGAATGAAGTACATTGGATCTGTTGAGCACTTCGAATCAAGCTGCAGAGGGAATGGAGAGAGATACTTTTTCAATTTCCCTAACCAGGATTTCTCAGATTGTACAAGGATTTAAAGCAAACCTCTGAACTATAGCAGCATCATGTGATGATGAAGTCATAAATGATAAGGCAGTCAGGAGCAGCAATTTATTGGAAATACCAACTGCCTGTTTTTAACGGGAAATTACTTTTGAGGTTTAGAAGCGGTTTACTGCAAAGACTCGAGGAAGCCAGTCTTTGGTTATCTCTTACCAGGAAGAAGGAAGTTGAGTGGTTGGAGTGGAATTTTGAATGTCAAGGTTGAGAAATTCTCAAAAGAAAGTAGTAGCTGTGATATGTTAAAGGGCTGAGGTCAAAGAAGTTATCAAACAAGCTATATATAAACACAGTGAGTCAGTATTGCTACTTATCCTACTTGAGTATTGTGTTGGGCTTCTTTTCTATTTTAGTATTTTTACTTAGGTCCTTTGCCTGGTAGTTTTATTGCTTTGCGTTTTGTGGCATTTTTTGAAAAGTGCCTCATAAATAAAGTTTATTAAACTTACTATTTTTTGGGGAAATGGGGATGATAGTGAAATAAAACCAAGAAATGTCTGGCATTGGTTGACTAGCCTAAAAAAAAAAAAACAACTCTTAGTGTCAGTATTAGCAGTACAGACTTGATTTTGTTCCAAAAATGTATGAGGTTAGAGTACAAAAGAAAGACCATTTCAGGTGTACATATATGAGTGTGTGGGTGAAGAGAGAGAGAGAGAGAGAGAGAGAGAGAGAGAGGAGAGAGAGAGAGAGAGAGAGAGAGAGAGAGAGAGAGAGAGAGAGAGAGAGAGAGAGAGAGAGAGGCGGGGTTGTGGTTTGGCCGTCTCTGATCTTCCTCTGCTGGTGGATTTATTGTGCCCTTTCCGAGAGCCCTCAACTCCAACAAAACCCAGACTCCCTTTATCTTCTCCTCTCCATCACTCTCTCTGACTGAGCTATTGTCCATCCACTCTGCCCTGGCTCCTCTTTTTCACAGAACCATGTTGTTCTTCATGAATGCTGATCTCTAAGACACACAGACAGATGCTGTCATTTGGCCCAAACCTCAAGAAAAGGGCAGCTTCAACCCTAAAAACAAGACTTTCATCTTCACATCAGTCCTTTTGATTGTTGGACTCCAGGCCTGTTGAAATGAAACCACGCCGGTAATCCTACCGTGCAAAGAAACAAGAGACACAGAGCACCCCAGAACAGAAACAGGAAGTCAAAAAGGTTTCTAGTTGGTTTAATGTTTCCGATTCAAATATGTTTTCATACATTGGGAAATGTATCTGCTCAGGTATGTTGGGTATGGTAAATGACACTTTTGATATACTTTGTTTGTTTTTTTTAACAAATCCTTTTAACAAATCACGATCAAACGCAAGTAACAGGCTGTATGGTTAAGTTACTCTGTTGGTATTCAGCCACTCCATGACAGCATGGGTACACAAATGCATTAAACAATTAGACCTACCTGAGGCCTGGAGTGCATCTATTCAATCTCATTATTCTTCTCTGCTCTCTAGAACCATGAGTTGTGGGGGAAGGGCTAAGTGGCTATGCTCAGTCTTTGAGCTTGAAATCCTCTCCTTCCTTTTGTTTGTTGCTCTTTTCTTAAGACTGTCACATTCTTCCCTCCTCATTTCATACCATTTTCAATATCTTTAGTATCCTATATATGTAGAACTTTCTACACTATCTGCACTTCCATCCATACACTATTGTCTGCTTGTCCTCTCTCCTGGTTTCCATATACCCACAGCCCCCCATCCTCCTGTGGTGTTTTGCCTTGACATGCCATCCTTGATTCCTTTGCTATATAAATAAATATCTCACTGCATTCACATACATGTCCAATAATACCATAGTTCCCACTAAAATCGTGACCCATATCGCAATCGCAATATCTGTCAAAATAATCACAATATTTTTTTTGTTTTCATATCGTTGAGCTGTACCAGATATAAGTATTGCCTAAACAGGGATGAAGGCACATTAACATTACATGTAGCAGGGTACCTATCCCTAAGTGCCTCTGGTATAAATTCAGAGCAGGCAGGGATCTCGCGAATCCAGCTGCCTCGCAAGGTAACGTGATTTGGACAGCAGGACTGCTTATCATGTTCTCGCGTGACTTGAGGGCAACAGTTGCTGGCTGTAATGCACCTTTAAGCTGGTTTGCCAACTGCCGGAGAAGAAATGACTGACAAGAAAAATGGAGGAGGAGAATGCATTTGTAAAAACAGAGTAGGAGGCATCCCAACCAACCAAAAATAAGGGTTGCGAGGAGAGTTCTGTTGTGTGGACTGTATGGTATGGTTTTTTTTAAACCATTTCTTAACTGAATTTACAGAACAATTACTGCAGTGTTCCGTATACATTGATTTATCTGTTGTGGCCCCTCAGCATATGGATTTTCCATTTTTTTTTTACGACAATTTCAAAGTAGGTAAAATCTTATTTCATGGTAGAGCTAACACAGCACATTGATTTGTCCAGACCCCCCCATTCTCTCTCTCTCTCTCTCTCTCTCAAACACATTGACAATGGACCTGTCTGTCATAGTTGAACTGGCCATCAGGAGCACCGGGAGAAATCCCGTCCCATCAGTGGGTCAGTGGACAATGAAAAAAAATCCATTAAGTTTTTACTGTCCCCGTCTGTCTCTTTACCAGCCCTATCTGTGTGTCTGCCATTCAGGGTGCGGATGAGAGCGTGCTACCTGCATGTGCCAGGACAGAGCTCACTGGTCAATCACAATATATAATCACATTGTTATTTGTTTGACACAATGTGAAGCAGTGAAGTTGTATTGTTCAGTAATGCATTTGTCACAAAGTCCTTAGCAATTAAAATATTTGCAGTGTAGCACTTTATATGGTAGCCTATTATGTAATAATTAATTCAGTGGAAAACACTGATTACTGTAATTTGATATTATAGAGCTACTGTGATATAAAATTGCATATACCGTGACAGATGATTTTGGCCATATCGCCCTACCATGGATGTCAGAGAAAAAGCTGACAGACAGACACAGTACCTGTCTTGGCCTCTTCTCACCTTCACAGTTAAAGAGGAGAAGGATGATCAAGGATGATGGAATACTTAAGAGAAATCCAACCTTGAACTCACCAGAGTGTTAAGAGTTTTATCAGTGAATCCATCAGCTCATCAAAAGCCCTCACAGTGATCTTGTCCTTGACCTCATTCTCCCTTGCTGATACATGCTGCTGACTGCAGGATCATGAATGCTGAGGAGGGACTTGTGTGGTTTGTGTTTGCATGAGTGAGAAAATTGCACAACATAATATGCAGATGTGTTTTTTGGAGCAAAGTCTCCCTTTCCCAGCATGCTTTCATTTGCTGCAGCCTGGTCTACAGCATGCATTTCAAAAAATTGAGTTTCCAAACGGAAGACAGAATCAAACCTCATCAAGGTGTTTGTCCTGAATTATGATAAAATTCCGTAGATAGCAGGGATACCATTTCTCATTCCAGTGCTACAACAAAAACAAGGAAATCACTCAGTTAAATGCCCATTTTGAGAAAAAGTGGTGACTAATTTTTCTTGAAATACAAGCTTAGCTAAGTACTACTAGAACTGCAGATGATTCAACACCAGGTGTTCAGAGGAAATTACGGCTGACTTGCAGTGTTTTCACTAAAACCACTTTCTCTAGAAGTAATAGTTCCCTTGAAAATGGTCTCACTGTATTATGAACTGAGTTCAACTATCCTGAGTAACTGATACATTGTTTCTGAAAAGGATATGTTGCTGAGTTTTTCCAAATCAGATTTTTCAAGCACAAACAAAATTCTGTTCATCCTGGAGTCTCAGCTTGTTGCCGAGCAACTGGTCCAAACTAAGAAATAGTCTGGAACATAACTCCCATGTCGATTTGTCGATTTCATACAGATTAAACACACAAGATAGAAGGTGTCAATTAGTGAGCTTTAGAGATGCTGGTTGGTGGATTTTGTTACGCTTGGACAGAGCTGAGGTAACGGTTTCAACTCT